GAGGAAACTATGCTTGCAGGGGTCCCCTCTAGATAGCCTTAGGAGTAGGTAGTGAAAGGCAAAAACAGAAGTTGAGAGAAGAATATAGAAAGAAAATTAAAAAAAGAAAGATAAGGAACTGTGTTGCGACTCCGGATTTTTTTTTATTTTTTTTTTCAAGGTTGTGTGGCGGCTTGAGGTAAATCAAGACAAGAAGAATAGACGACGAGGGGAGGGACCACGCGACCACATAGAGGAAGTATTGTCCCACAAAAAAAAAAAAAAAAAAAAAAGATAATTGGAAGCAAAAGGATGGCGGCGTTATACCCTTCTCGGCCTTTTTTGGCTAAGTAAGATCCAAGTCCACTGTATCTGTTCTAATCAGTCGTATATCTGATCCGTCGTCCATCGGCCTACAGTTCAAAAAAAAAAAAAGGAAAGAAGAAGAAGGATGGCGGCGCAGGGACGAGAAGGCGCCAAAAGGGGTTGCTGACAGATCGGAAGAACCGCAGAGAACAGAGGGATAGAGAGCCGGTCAGGCAACAAAAGAAGGTCAAAAGGAGGAGAGAGAGAGAGAGAGAGAGAGAGAGAGAGAGAGAGGGATAAGAGGAGAGGAGATGAGCTTACCTTGCCGCTTGGTGACATCAAACTGCCTCCGCCGCCATCTGTCATTCCACCAGGGGTAGACACAAAACCCCCTCCGTCGAACTGACTAGCCCCACCATACGATTCCCCACCTCCGTACATCATGGCGGTACCCTACCACGTCGGCTTGCTTGCAAGCCACTAACAGCACTCTCTCTCTCTCTCTCTCTCTCTCTCTGTGTGTCTCTGTGTGTGTGTGTGTGTGTGTGTGTGTGTGTGTGTGTGTGTGTGTGTGTGTGCCACAGGCCCGCTGTCCGCTGTCTTTCCGCCGTCCCGCCCCCGCTCTCCCGCCAAGTGACGTATGGGCGGGATCGTATAGCCACGTGGCACTTTGGAAACCGGAATGCCACGAACCTATCACAATGAAAGGACGAAAAAAAAAACAGCAAAAAAGACAGAAATATTTACTAGTATTTTCCTTTTATTTCGTCTTTGATGCAAACGATGGAAACGACAAGAGAAAGAAAGGGGAGGGGAGGAAAAGCAACAACCAAAAGTGGATCTCTCTCTCTCTCTCTCTCTCTCTCTCTCTCTCTCTCTCTCTCTCTCTCTCTGTGTGTGTGTGTGTGTGTGCGTGTGTGTGTGTGTGTGTGTGTGTGCGTGCGTGTGTGTGTGCGTGTGTGTGTGTCTGTGTCTATGTGTGTGTGTGCGCGTGAACGCGCCTGTCTGCCCGTAAGCCAAGACAGGCGCGCTATCCTTCCGCCCGCCCCGACGCCCTCAACTCGCTCGTCTCTGGTTGCCCGCTAGCCCTATTCCAGCCCGTCCGCCTTCCTTCCGGCATCTCTCTCTCTCTCTCTCTCTCCTCTCTCTCTCTCTCTCTCTCAGTGGCGCAACAGGCCGCCCGCACCTGCACTCTCTAGTGAAGGTACACACGTCGAGAGAATTTCGGTTAGGACCTCCGATGCTGCCGTCTTCCCCAAACATAACGCACCCTGATAATGAATGAACAAAACATGTATTTCCGGTCAGATACAGCCAAAATAAGGGCGCGTTGTGCTCGGGGGAAGCCGGTGGTGAAGGCGGGAGGCCACTATGCAAAGTCCCAGTGGGAGACTCGAACGCGAACGCCTTGGACGGTAGTTGCATCAACCTTTCTTTTTGGCCCCTGGATGGAATGGGGGGGGCCAGCAGCGCACTCTGCCGCAGTGCAATGCAGAGGCAATGCTGGAGGGGTCGAGTTAGCAAGCTTACCCTTTGACCCCTCCGTAGCCCCAAAGAAAAACAATTTAATATCATTGTGGCCCCATAGACCAGGGATCAGTTTTCTTCTAATTCTAATCATCATAGATTTGGAGAGACGGTTAACGGGGGCCAAAATATTCGCCGTTTTCATTGGCAATTGCGGTGCGAATGTCATCAAAAATTTTAAAAACAAACGATATGAGACCATAGTGCAAACATCAAAAAAGGAAACAGGCAAAAAAAAACAAAAAAACACTATGAAACCCTGACACAAAAACACTGTCCGAGTCAAAATGAAGCGTCCAACGAATCCAACAAAATGCCAACTTTTTCATTATTGATCCAAACATGTCAAAACTGCACACATGACGTACCCTAAAGCACATATATATCACACAAAAAGAAAAACAAGAAAAAAAGCAAAAAATCAGCACAATATGACAGTTTCAGTGCAATTCGGTGCAAAATTCGTCGAAAATAACACCCCTGGTTAACCACGTATGTAGATTTGACCGACCCTAGGCCCCCACTCTACTCACCGACCACCCCCTATTAGGGCGGGGGGCAATATACATCCCCTTAATTGTGAGAGGTAGCTATGCTTGCAGGGGTCCCCTGTATAGGCTTAGGGGTAGCCGTAGGTAGATAATAAAATGTGAAATTGAGAGAAAAATATACAACACCCTAGGCTTTTTTATATATAGCTTAGTTAAAAATAAAATAAAACGAGTTCTTTCATTGCATTCATCCAGGTCCATCAGGGGGAAGGTTCCACTACCTTGTTCCCCCAAATACAATGTACCGTCATTATAGTTGTATTTGGGGTATCTGTCAGTCTAAATCCAGCCCTAATGACTCTATGTTGTATTTGGGGAAAGGAGGTAGCCATGTATTTGGATTATTGTTCTGTGGGAAATATATGGTGATGTTTTTCCGCGGATAAAGCGCAGGAAAGGGACAGTTTTTTCTGCTCTCCCATTTGGCAGGTTTTTTTTTTTTTTTTTTTTTTTTTTATGGTGGTCTTGTGGTAGTCACGAACATTTTTTTGTGCTCTCCCATTGGACAGTTTTTCTTTCTTTTTTTACGTGTGGTCTTGCGGTGGTCCCGGAACAGTTTTTTTTCCTCTCTCATTGAGCAGTTTTCCTTTTGATTTTGTTGTTGTGGTGGTCCCAAGTGTGCCATAATTTGAAGACAAATTTCAAGTGTGTCATAATTTGAAGACAATTTTTTGGGAAAACTAGAGTGCAATCACAGTTTCAGTTTGAAAATACGCTTCAGTCACGATTTCGCGAATATTGTGTCAAACCAAGGAAACTTGTGAATGTATATAACCTAGCTTTAGGGTCCGGTGGGGATGTGTTGTATCCGAGGGATGCCTGAAGTGGATTTTAAATTGAAATCGTGTAGAACTTTGTTAACCACACCAGGTGTCTTCATGATTGCTATTTTCATATTCGGGCCGGTGTCTTCGGATGCATTCGCTTCGCGGGCGGGATGAAGTTATATTATGGCGCAACCACCCTGTTTGCATGCATATTTATCATCGGGATTGCTCTCCTTGAGCCGCTGATTGTTTTGAAAGTACATTGGGAAAGTTGAATGAGTCGAACTGGGATAATGGTCAGGTGCATCAGGGGCGAGGAAACAAATTGACAAAGTGGGAGAGAGGGGAAAATATTGAGATGGAAGATTGAAGGAAAGAAGAGAGTGAGAAGGAGAGAGGAGGAAACAAGGAAGGTGAGGAGGCCGCGAGGGAGAGAGTATTTACAAACGTCGTTTCCAGACTCCGGTCGTGGACGTTTTCTCTTTGTGTCCGTGTTTATGATGATAATTGTTGTATAAGCAGGCCAGACCCGTCCCTCCTGAAGTCGAAGTCATTGCTTCTGTCTGACTTTTTATTCTTTAAAAGGGATGAACCTGAGTGAAAAGTAGTGTCAAGTGCATGTGAGTTCGTTTGTGGGAACGCGGGGCAAATAAACGAAGAGAGGAAAAAAGTCTGCAGTAGAGGGAGAAGCGAAGAGGGAGGAATTGATAAGAAAAGGTACGAGGGAAGGAAGCGAAAAATGAACGAAGCAAGGAACATAAAGGAAGAGGGACCTGGTACGGGGATTCCGAAGGCGAATGACTCTGGGATTTTAGCCAATGCAAGTTGGTGTGGGTGGTCATTACATCAATCGAGGATTGTGTGCGCACGACTCTTCTGCGGACCCGCTTGGCTTTCTGTGTGTTCAAAGTGTTGCCAAGTTATTTTGTCTTGTCCGCATGTTTTGTCTGTTGTTAGATGCAGCTCGACATATCCTGGGGATGGCTACTTGAGGTTGTCCGTGCAAGGTTCGGGTGATGTTGGTTGTTTACCCTGTATTGCAGCCCGCTGTCGCACTTTTTCCAATCAAGCTACTTATGATGACCGAAAATCCAACAAGATGTCACGCATGATTTTTTATATATTTTGCAATAATTAAATAAATTAATTAATGCAAATCCTTTCCTGTTGTGTGCGTCCGGCTTCGAGCGAGACCCTTCAATTACGGTCACCGGTTCCTGGTTTTATGAATCTTCTATTATGATTCAAAACTACAATAATCATGCAAATAATAAATTAAAAAAGTATATAATATGCCATACACGTATCAAGTCTGTCAATTTAGAAATCTCAGGATTATGACAAGATCAACAAATAGAATAATATCAAACAATGTCAAAGGAAACGAATCAGGACTAATTGTCTCAAGGCAAAAGCAAGATGAATGAAGAAGGTGAAAACTCATAATAATCTCATAAAATACAAATGAAAAGACATGACCAATACTCGTAAATAGTCCTCACTTTCTCTCTCAAGTTTTATTCTCAATCTCTCATTTGACTGTGCGTCCCAAGTGCTTTGAGCCACGTTTATGTACCTCGTGAGATTGTGGTATAGAGATGTAGAGTCACCTAAAGCCCATAAGTTTCGAACACATTCATCCATTGTCAAAGATTCGGAAGTCAAGCGTAGCACATGGGAGTAGAAAGATAATGACCTTGAGAGGATACCTCGTCTGAGCTGTCGAAACTCAAATGGTTCAGTCACTGCCTCTTAGTCAATCTCTGCAGGTAAAACATACCTTTTGACCAAGTCAAACAAATCACCCTAGTAAGAACCATTGATGAGATAAAAAAAAAAAAAAGGCCTAAAGTGGTCAGAGTATAGCTTAAAATAAAAATTATGAATCAGTTTTATACCCTCCTGAAGCACTCGGACTCTCTCTTCAATATACTAAGCAATTGTAACCCAGACTGAGTCGAAATGCTCATGAGTCTCTTTCCTTTTCTTCACATAAATCCTCAAGTCCTGGATAGTTCCCTCTGCAAACTCTGTGAGAACCACGAAGATTGACAAATTTTATTGTCTAAAACCGATTGCATTGATATTTCAGTACTGGAAAACATCCTTGAGAGCAATCTAGTTGAGATTGGTCAAGACTGACCCACTGACCGAAAATGATTGAGTTGTACTCATTAGCCAAGATGGATACTAAAACTGATCTGAATATCTCTTATGAGAACATTGTTTGACTAATGTTGATTCGTGTGATAACTGATAATGACTGAATAACGATAGGTCCTGGCCGAGGATCACTGATGATGTCTTAAAGGATTGAAAGTTGTGAAGTAACTGTGCGCTAATTGATGAAAACTTAGAAAAGTTCAAGATTACTGGATAATGTTTCTTGGAAAAGTCACCAATTAGATCTTCGAGAGGAACCCTGACCTACTCAATGGTCTTTAGAGACGATGAACTAGTACTGTGCAGTTTGTCGTTTTAACCGTGAAAATAAAAAACATACTTAATGTATTTTCTTTCCCCAATCCTTTGGACAACACGCTCTGTTAAAACCAGTCTATGAAATTTAATATCTTGGAATACCTCAATTTTCCAACCTTCATACTTTTCTTTATTGATACTGCATCTCATTGCTACAATCTCTTAATCTTTCATTATCTGTTTTATGATCTTAAGCCCAAATTTTGATGAGAGATAGGGGAGAGACACTGTTTGTTTTGTTATCTCAAGGCATAAAAAATGTTTGCGGTAAAAGTTAAGCTACCATCTGCACGCTATTACTGTCGAGGTTTCATAACAACCTCAATGCAAAAATAACCAGATCACACTCCACGATAACAAAAAGAGAGAGGAGTACTTACGAATGATAATCCACGCAAGGAGAAATAGACACTTGGAATGACAACTTCATGTGATATAAGTGATCCCGAACTATATCAGACTGACGACCGAAAATTTAATCAACACGAGAGCTCCTGACAATGGTTACCCATCCAAAGACTCACGATCATGACAATAGGATCTAGCGCAAGACTATGAGCGAGTTTAGCAAAGGTTCTCAGTCTAAAAGTAATGAGCAACGGGGAGGAAGTTTTGGTGGGGATAAAAAATCACATCCCGCTTGTTTCCTAACGAAAACAAGCAGGGAAAAATGACGGATAGGGGTTTTTGGATCGGGCGAGGGTAGTGATGGTGTT